ATGGCATATCTTGAAGAAGATTTAATCGATTTGACATTGAATCACGATTATATTCTTGAAGAATCTTTTTTAAAAAACAAAAAAAAGAAAATATTATAAAATAAATTTAAGATTTAACAAAGAAAAAAGACAAAAAAAAATAAATAATACATACGAAACTAAGTTCAGGTGGTGCTAATACATTTTCATATGGACCTATACGATCATTAATCTGACGAATACGTTCTTCTTGTTCTTGATTATGTAATTTTGAATTGACACGATTTACAAATGTAGCTACTTTTTGAATCTAAATAAATATATTTAAAATAAATAAAAAAAAACGTAACATTTTTAGATAAACACTCTGTTTACCTTCATATTATACTCTTATTGTAGGAATTCATTAGATTAGAATATTTTCTCAAGGATTTATGCTTTTATTTAGATTAGATTCAAGATATTGCATCTGTAGTGAATTTAAGATATCGGAAAACATATATGAGTACTCGCTTGAATACTTGTAAAGTTTCTATAATATCCTATGAAATATTTTTCAACAAGTTAGTCCTACACAACCGAGAAAGTACTCTTGTAACCAGCTGAAAATATTCGAAATCGACTTTAAACGTTATCAATCATTATTCACAATTCCGAGAAAGATTTTCGTTTCTACATTTTTTAGGATCTCTATAAAACCAATTTTTTGGAGTTCAATCTAACTGGAAATTTTATCATAGATGCAACTCGTGCTCTAGAACTTATCCTGAAGTTTTCAGATTTTTTTTCTCATCTGTTTAGCGAGACATTTACTAATTGTAATATGATACAAATGTCCTTCATTTGAATGCAAATATAAGAACATTTGAAGATAACGTCGTCAAGAAAAAACATATTAAATTACATGCTTTAGACTAGGGTACACAGTCGAGTTCGAGCTACTACTACTCGGCCTCGATACATATCTATATTCATTACTTAAAATCTCAGAATAAACTTGTTACTATGTAAGAGTAAAAAAGACTTGACTGTTTTACTGATATAACTCCGAAAAAAAAAAATATTCGACAGTAAAAATCTATTATTAATTTAAATTTTGTTACTCTTATTTACCATTTCCTGTAGATCATTTTTTTGTTGAATATCAAGTGTTTTCTTTTGTATAGCTTCAAGTAATAATTTATATCTTGTAAGTCTTTGTAATGGTTTAATAGTTAAATCTGCAAATGATAAACGATTAGTAAAATTAGCTTCGATCCACTAAAAAACAAGAAAATTAAATTCGTTTAATTTATATAAAAATATATCTTTTCTTACAGTAATTAAATATTGAAATAAATCATCACGAGAAAATTTTTGTTTAAAATATTCTGCACTCATTTTTTGATCAAGTACATAATGAAGATAAGGTTGAAAATAAATATCAAACTAAAAAAATATATAATAATCTTATATAACCAAGTTAAACAAAAAATCTTGTTCTTTTTTTTTTTTTTACATTAATAAAACCATTTTTTAAATCTGATGGATTCATTGGTAAACCACTTTGTTGAAGTTTAATTTTAATTGGTAATAAAATTTCTTTCCAAAATAATAAATTTCCATGAAGTACATCTTGTATATTAGAAAATAATTTATCCATATCAATATCATGAAATATTCCATCACGTTGAGATGATTTTAATATACTTATACTTGTCATAAATATATCAGTCATGGTTAAAATTTGACGAATATAAGATACTTCAGTTGAAAGCATTTCATAGATTGCTTCTTGTTGAAGTTTTATTGTTTCAGACATAAGCTAAAAGAAAAAAAAACACATAAGTTAATTATATTTAATTAAATATATATGTATAGGTGATTCTGGTGTCTATTGTACCGTTTGACTAGTGAAAATGATCTTGTTTATTTCTCAGTTTCTATCTATTACTGTTTGAGAACATGGCAGAAAATAAACTAACTTTTTTTTCCATTCTATTAGTAGTCCCAGAAAAAGTTAAAAAAGTGTCCCCCCCCCCCCCCCCTTTTTGACCTCATTGTAAAGCTAATAAACATTCTAACTCAAACCTTTTCCCATAAAAAGATTCACAAATCTAACCATTATCGATTGTTGAAAACTACGAATTACTAGTTGCTTCCGTTATTGAGTGATTTACATTATATTGGGATTCATTGAGGTGTAATCTATAATTTGTCCCATCCTTTTCCACCTATGTTCTGACTAGAGCCCGTTGGGTCCGAAATTTTTGCAGCCGGGTTCAGTTTATTGAATGTTTTTGGAACTTGGGCTCGGAACCAACCGGATGGGTAAACTACAGAGAGTTGAGAGCTGATTTTTTTTATCATCAGTTTCAATCGAGTAACACAACGTATATGTCCATCGCGGCGGAGAATCTGCCGCTGTCGCGATGGTTTTTAAAAAAAAACCTTTCGAAAATCCCTGCCATCACTGTACTGAACTAGAACTGTTAGTATGAATCCATGAGATTCATCTAGTCTCTGAGTGTTACACTTATGGACACCTGAATCTTGTGCAAATCTATGGATTTTGCAACGTCTTCTGCCGCCATGGACATCTCTGTATCACAATTCAAACTGTAAATATCGAAACTCTTGGTTGTTCCTAAGGAATATATCCTGGAAAACACAGTAAAATGCCGTTTTAGTAGTTTGCAGCATCCCATCCATAGCTTGACAGTCTAAATGTATTATGTGAAAATCTTCTGATCTCTTAATCTAAAAACTCGTAATTTGTAAAATTAGTTTTTTCTTACACTTCGAAATATTCTCTATCCGCTAATAAGACTTTTAAGTGCAACTGTTTACTTTTGTTTTCATAAGAAAAACAAAAACGGTTCAAGAGACACGAGAATCACCTATATATATATTTTTTTAATATGTTTAATAATTTACTGTTCGAGATTGTTCATTTAAAAATGGTTGCCATTCTTTTTCAATAAATAAATCGCATTCATCAATTGAAAAATGTAATTGAGCTAATTTTGGTAAACCATGTGTTAACCATTCATCACATTTACGACGAATAAATGCAAGATTATTTTCGGATCGTTCACTTGTATCATTTACATCCTTATTTTCAAAACAAAAATTAGATTTATATCAAATAAATATATATATATATGTATTCTTACTCGAGTAAATATACTACTAGCAAATATACTTGGTCGACTTGTTTTATTTGTTCGAATAGGTTGTTGATTTAATATTTTTGAATCTTGATTTTCATCATTATCTAACATCATACAATAATTTGATGAACGTTTTGATATTGATTTTGAATTCTATGATACAAAAAAAAAAAATAATAATGAAGATAAGATTTTCTCTTTCACTTGATTTATCTCTCGAGAATATTGCATTTAAGGATATTAAAATTAAGAAATAACAATAATAATTAATAGAAAGCAAGTGTTTTCCAGATTTCTAGATACCATACAGAGTTTTTTTTGTAAATGAAGCTAATCATTGGAATTCGAGATGCATAAAAACAAAACAAATAATAACTAAAATGGATTTATTGACAGTAACCATTAAGATTTTTATTTATTGATTAATGTCGATAATCAAAAATAAATACTCATGAATAAAAAACAAAAATCTTAAAGAACAAATTGTTTTTGATGTGTCTATTACAATGTCTATAAACAGTGATTATGGAAGGTCACATTTTTCTTTGTTTTTTAGTATTATCAATATAATAATAAGAAAAAGTAAACTAACAATATGATATCGATCATATACACCGATTAATATGCTTTTAGTTCTTTTTCCCTTGATTTCGACGATGACAAACAGCTGTTTGTCTTATTCCTTGATTGTCTATTAACGGCTGTCAAGTGTTTATCTAATACTTAAGAGTAATATATTTATATATGTCGACATACAGTAATTTACTGTATTATTCAATATATATATATGTGGTTCTCATAACTTACCAATGATAAAATTGTCGAACCCATTGAATTTCTTTTTTCATTTCTTTCTTTTCCACCTGATGTTTTAGCTGATAATCGATTCGTTGTTTCTAAATACAAGAGAAAAAAAAAAAGAAATTCTTATCTTTTATTTCATGGTTTTTGTTTTTGTTATTTTTAGAATAAAAGTTAAGAGAAAAAAGAGACCATTTAATTTCAATTTATGATTAATAGTATTTGTACGTATTGTTTGTCCATCTTCATTCGATGATATAAAAACTAAATCATCATAACTAATACTTTTTTGTTTCATTAAACGATGAACATCGATTGAATCAGTTCGATTTTTTGACTGATTAGATAAACTATCAAAATCTTCTTTTGATGTTGTATCAACTTCAGTTAATGCACAATTCCATAAGAATGTAAATGTTGATGAAGGTGAAGGTGTTGTTGTTGTTGAAGATAATGTAGACTCTCTACTATTTGAATAAAATGATTTACGTTTTAATTTTAATACATCAGATAATTGTCGATAGAGAGATGATCGACGAGCTTGTGAAGTATCTTCATGAGTCATTTTCTTTTTTGACAAAATGACTTCTAGCTATGATTGTATATATTGTTTTTTTTTTGGATGTGCAATCAATGAATGCAAGAGGCAACAAATACTAATCGTAGAAGGAAGAGAGAGAGGGAGAGAGAGAGAGAGAAAAGAAGAGAGAATTATGTAAGAAGTATATACGACAATAACAACAATATTGATAAATAAGTTTTTTCTTTTTCTTTTTTTTTTTCCTTGAATAGATTTTATTATGGATCAATGATAAACAAATTCTAATCAATCGATGTCATCAAATGATAGAATCTTTTTTTTTACGTTCGTCTAATTTTCTTTTACTAAAATAACTTTAACTTTGAACGTAGCAACATCAGCGATGACATATCAAGATTACTCTATATATTACATCATTGTATATATATATATCTACATACACACAAGCATTGCAAGAGTGTCTGTCAAGTGACTTATTCTTTTTTTTTTTTTTTGTTTGAAAGGAAAAGACCAAAATGGTTTTATCGTTAATTAGGAAGGAAGGAAGAAATTGCATAATCAATTTTTTTTTTGATACCTGTAACAACAAGATCATCCAATAGAAGATGTTTAACTGGTTGATCCAAGGATAATGGTAATGTAGGTGCACTTCGTAAACAAATATTATATGTTTCAATTGAAAGATTATATTTGTTGAAAAGTTTTATTAACATTTCTCTATAAGAAAAACAAAAAGAAAGATTTAAAGAAATTATTATTTTATAGGTTTTCTTTTCTTATTTTTTTGTTTGTTTTTTTTTTGCATACCGTAAAGTTGTATTTTCAGATATAGTTGAATATTTAAGTTGTTCTTTAAAACTTTGTCCATTAATATTATTAAAATAAATGTAAGTATTATCCTAAAATAAGAATATTAAATAAACAGAATAAAGGCAATTATCTACAAGGTCAAATATTTCTCACATATCGTCTATATTCAATTTGCATTATTAGTCGTCTACACATTCATTCAAACTCTGCTTTCTTTCAATGAAAAAAAAAAAAAAAAAATTTTTTTTCTCTCTCTATCTAATCAAACATACATCATCTATAATATGTCCTTGTCAATAAACAATCCATTTACAAATAAATAAGCTTTCTCCGTACATAAAAGTCAATTAAATTGAAGGTTTTTTTTTTTTTATATTTACAAAATAGAAAAACAAAGTCTTGCAATTACTATACATACAATTGATAGTAAATTTTCTTCTGATATAGCATATTTTTTTCGTTGATCAAATGTTGTTTTTTCATATATTGTTGATATTGCACTATTTCGACGATTTATTCCCATTGATGTAGCTAGATTAATAACTGAAGTACTTAATTGTTTACCAATCATATTTGTCTATTTAAATAAATAAAAAAAAAAAAAAAAAAACATGAATTAAAATAATACAAAAGAAAAATTTTCTTTTACATCATTTGAATCTAAAATAACATTTGATCGACGTGTACGAAAAACATTAACTAATAAACTACGAGTTTTTTCTCTAAAATAAAAAAAAAAAAGATCAAAAAAATTTTTTAAAATTCCTTTTGCAAACCTCTTCATTATTGATATATATTAAATGATAGTTTTTTTTTTTTTTATACAAGATTGAAAATCAACTATAGATTATTTAGTTTACATATTTTTTTTTATATTTCTCTCTCTCTCTTTCTTCTGATTATCTTCATCATATGATATGAAGTGTGAACAATCGCTATATAAATAGTGAAGTTTATTTACTTAGTATCGATGTAGACAACCGAGAATAAAATACAAAGAAGAAGCAAGATTAATTAGAATATGAATTCTTATTTTTTATATCTGTTATCACATTAATATTGATGTTGACAAGTAAACAATTACACTTTCAATTATATGTATATGATAGATTTATAGGTTTTAAATGGAACTAACTAAGATGAGAAATGTTTCATGAATATAAAAACAAAACAAAAAAAAAAAAAACAAAACAAGATATTCTGCTTTTTCTTTTTTTTTGATTGTCATATGTAGAGATAAATATGGCATATATTATAGAGTTCGTTGTTTTTTTTGTAAGATAAAACTAGTTTTTTGATAAAATATATGTTTTTTGTTATATCGAATATCTTATTCATTTATTGTCTCGTTATCGAGAAAAAGAAAGGAAGCGAAATGAATAATTGCTATTTACCAAAGATATATATGTATATCTAATATTTAAAACAACAACAACTTACTCGGGAGGATGTAAAAATTGCTGATTAGTATTATGTTCATTTGTTACATCGTTACTATATATAATATTTGAATTATGCGATTCACCTGATGACATTTTATTAAACAAAAAAAATAAATAAATAAAATTCTTTCATCTTATTCTAAAATGTACTCACCACAGTCAAATACAATCTCATTGTCATTTTCATCTTTATTGCCATACTAAAATGAATGAATATAGAAAAGTTTTGTGTTTTTTTTTTGTTTTTTCTTCATCTACATTGAAATATAACATCTGTGTTTTTTTTTAATTTAATTCCTGTTCGTCTTGTCATTGTTTTATTGTAACAAGAAATCTTCATTTCTTGTTTCAAGTGTTAACCTTATTGTTTGTATTTCATCTCCTTGAATTCAATTAAAATAATATTGAATTTAGTATCCTTAGATTTTTCTTTTCATTGTAATTCAAAGATTCTGTCTTGATTTAATAAAATCGAGAATGTATAAAATAAATACGCATATATTCATTTTAAATGATGAACTTATATGAAAAAGCAAGGTCAAATGACAAGACATTTCCTTTTCTTTAGATTTATTATTATTGTCAATTTTAAGATGAAAAAAAAAAAAACTGAAAGGCCGATATTAACAAATCAACGGACATGTGTTTAATGAGGTATTTCTCTTTATTTTTTAGTAAACGAATGGTACATGAATTAAAAATTGATGCTATTTGCTTTTTCGTTCTTGCTATTTAAACATGCATGCGTGTAGACAATGTTATGATTGAATTAGAGCGTCCATACCAATGACGGACGTGCCATGTGATGGTCTGCATGTAAAATTGATTCTCGTCACACAACAATCATATTTAAGAGAAAAAGAAGACAAATCACCAATGATCGAAAAAAATTTGTCATCATCAGTCAAGTTTTTTTTATTTTTGGGGTGTGGTTTTTTGTTTTTGTTTGTCTATTGAGAATAGACTATAGATCAAAATTCAAATTTACATATCTTTAATTTCAATGTTTTTTTTCTTTTTTGTTCATTCATCTTTTTAAAAGGTGATTTGACAAGAATACCTTCAAATCAGTTCAATGAAGAGAGATTATCAAGTAGTATCAATATTACCATGAACTATAAATCTATTTAGACAGAAAAAAAATCAAAAATTGTTGATGAATATGGCAGAACAAGGATGAATAATAATAATAATAATAATAGGTAATCATCATCCATAGAAGTCAACAGACAGTTCATGCCATCCAGACATATGAAGAACAAGAATAGAAAAAAAAGGTCAAAAACTATCAATGATGTGATTCTCATATGTACTTATAAATGTGTGCGTGTAATACGATGCAACGTCTGACATGACCGTGATAAAAACACACACACACAAACTCATTTATTCATTCATTCCGTCTGGCTTGACCATCAGTATTGACTATGTTTTAGCTATATCATTACACTCTGAAAATGTCATTGCCATCATTGTTCTTATTCTCACCAAAAAAAGAAAAAAAATAATCGCAGACAATCAGCCCTATGCTATTAATAATAACAAATCGATACTGTCGGCACTCATCATTATTACTGTCTCGACAATAGTAGTATATCTACGTTTGTGTATCAGGGTCAAACAATAATAAACTTTCTCTTCTTCCTTTTTTTTTTTTTTTTTTTTTTGAAACCAACAGTATTAACACTTGACCTTCGCTGTGTGTATGTATATATATATATATATATACATATATGCGCAGTTTTGTTGAAAGCACGCGTGCCGCTTTTAGACAAACAATTTTCGTGACTAATGATAAGCTCATCTTAGCCGACATACTTACTTTTTCAGTTAGTTGAGATGAATCATCATAATTGATGTGTTGTCGCTGTTGAAATGAATTATTATTGGTATTATTATGATCACTACTATCATCTGACTCTGTTAATGAAGTAGATGATTGAGATAATGTTGATGATTGTTGTTGATGTTCACGGTTGACATTATCAAGTAAAATATGATTTGATACTGTTGAAAATGATGGACGATGTTGTGCAGATGATGATGATAATGATGGTTCTATAAGATTATGTAATAATGATGGTAGACTACGACGTCTTTTAGTACGTGAAAATAATTGTTTTTGATCATGAAGATTTTTTGATAATGATAATTGTTGATTATCATCATTATTTGAAATTGATTTTAATAAAGGTCTTTTACATACTGAACAACATTTAGATGTATTTTCAGATGATGTTGTTGTTATTGTTGCTGTTGATAATGATGATGATGTATTAAGTTTTGAAACAAGAACACCAAATATTGATGGACGTTTTTTATTTTTAGATATTACATCAAGATTAGGATAATTTTGACAAGCTAGACATGAATGTTGTTGATATTTAAAATCCGGTTTTGTAAGTGATATTTTTGACATTGAATGATTCCCCGAGCGAAATGTTAGTGATTGAAATAGACGTGAAAATGTCTCTTTTGACAAGCTTGACTTCGATGTTGCCGATAGTTTTCTTATCTTAGATGATAATATATTCATTGATTCATTATTATCATGTTTTTCTTCATGTAAATTTGTTTTTGAACCAAGTGCAAATGAAAAACTTCGCTGTTGATTTATTGGTATTTCCATATGTCCTAATGATTCATTTTTTTTAAGTGATAATGTACGTGAAATTGATGTACGTTTTAATTCATTTTCTAAAACTTGATCAAATTCATTAAGTATAGAAACATGTCGATTATCATCGTTATCATTATTATCATCATCATCATCATCATCATTGTTATTAACACAAATTTGTGGTATTGATACTGGTATTGATGATTGTTGTTGTTGAGTTTTACCTTTAAATTTACGCATTGTAATAGTAGATGATGTTGAATCGGTGACTAGTAATTGTGTAACTGAATGTTGATTATTATTTGATTCTGCGAAGTGCTGCTTATGATGTTGTAGATAACGACGAGCTTTATTCGAACTTGTCATTATTGGATTTAATGCTATGCGACCTGTAATGATGATGAAAGATTATCTTTCTTTTCTTATATTAGATATAGTAGACAAGAGTGTTCACTATCAGTAAAAGTAATAATAGAGACACAGAGAAATAGTAGTCGAAATTGTCTCGTGTGTTCTGTTCTCTTTTTATATAGGATGAAAGAGCAACGACAAAAATTGAATATAAAGAGCGAGAGAGAGAGAGAGCGAAGAAAAAAACACAGTAAACAGTAAGAGAAAGGGTTCATCGGACATAGAAAAAAAAAACTGATGATAGAATCAAAAATTCCATTACATCAATTTTAGACGATGCTTTTTGAATGCGTAAAATATCCTACATCTCTTATCTCTTATAATTTTCTTTCATTTCCTGGATATAACAAAAAAATTTGAGTTAAAAAAACATAAAAACATCCTTTATAAGAAATCATATATATTAAGTTACATACAAATAAATAGATATATAATAGCTGTCAATATGAAAATATATGATTTGTTTTTTTAATCAAATTCTATAATTTCTTATTCACTAGTGACATAGAATAAAACGACTCATAAGAAGGCAAAAAAAAAAGAACACGGTAAAAATACTTGAAGCTGACAAAATATTTCAAGTTTTCCTTTTTCTTCTCATTTATAGAAGATGAAGGAAAAATGCAATCAAAAAAAAAAGACATCGATTATGCATGAGAAAACTTTTATTCTATTTTATTTTTTTTTGACTATTTTTTTTATCAATCTAGTTGATGTGGTATTCAACATACTTTATTCATTGAATATAATTGTCATTTTATCCGATAGGCATCTCAGACATGACAATATATATGTTCTGCTATTCGAGATTCTCTCTTGACTTTTTTCTCTCTCTGTCTCCAGTTCTGTCTGTCTGTCTTCAATTGTTTGTTCGATATGCGACGCAATATCAGTAGACCAAACAAAAGACCATACATTCTTTGTTAAAGAGACTAAAATATCAACAGTCGTAATACTATGCTTCTATTGCATTCAATGACTTGAAAAAGAGAATGAAAACAAGAAAGTGGTAACGAAATAATCGTTTGTTTAGTAAATGGGTATATTATTGGTGGTACCGTATGAATATGAAAGGTTTCAGTTTCGTTCGTGTTTGTTCTTCGTCATGTTTCAACAATTGTATGTCCATAATGATGAATTAGAGAACAGAAAAGAAACCAGATTAAACTAACAAAAACGTTTATTTTTGATCTAAATGTTTCTAGCATTGTCATTTGTTTTTCTATTAAAATTTTCACAATAAATGTTGCGCGTTACTCATATACATATATATTGTTTGTCAAAAAAAAAAAGTTCGAGATAATGAAAATTCTTCAAATTTTTTATCCGGTTTATATATTTTCACATAAGTTAATATGAACAAACATGAAAGAAAAAAAAAAAAGGTACATTTTATTATTCTATTTTTTGTATGTTTTAATTTCTTAATCAAAATTGATTTGTTGATAATGAAATTTCATCATTGCTCGTGATCGATATAAACGACAATGTGGTAAAAGATAATGGACAAGTAATTGTTTATATAAAAGTCGTTTTTTAACTCGTATCATTCGAAAACGAATTTCATCAGAATTATTTCCATTTAAATCTTTTTGTTTACATATTCGAATCTTTAAAAAAAGAAAAAATAAATAATAATTTTTTTTTTTTTTTGTTTAATATTCAATACATACAGCTAATCTTTTTTTATCTTCATATCCACGTATATTCAAATTATCTATAAAATAACAAAGAATTAATGTTTCTTTTAGAAAATTAAATAGAATTTAATATTTACTAATTAAACTTTCTAATAATGCTAAATCCCATATACTTTCATAATAATCATCAATATCATCATTCATATAATTTTCTTGTAATGTTTTAAATATAATATTATAATCAGGTGCTGAAAGTAATTGACATATACAAGCAACTTGTGTATGATAACCTAACAAAAAAAGAAAGAAAAACATAACATAAGATTGTTTGTTTCATTCATAATTAATAGTGAATTTTTTCCAGTTGACTTCTATTTAGTTTTCTTTTGATCATAATCAAAAAACAAAAAAGTAGGATAAACTTTGGCATCAAAAAAAAAAACCAACAACTAATGAATTAACAAAAGATTCAAGGGAGAAGAAGAGACTAGAAAAAGAACCTTTGATAATAGTTTATAATGATGTTTAAGGTTCATTGAATGTATAAATGATTATCAGAATAAATCGTATAGAAAGATCTTATGGATAAGAGCTCGATTATCAGTCTCGAGGTTATCAGATAAATCCAAATGAAGAATTATTCTATCCTTTCTCTCTCTAGGAATAATATTCGAAGGACAACAGGAGGCTTTCGAGGAATCAAACTTTCAAGATCAACCTTGTTTTCTTTTTTGATTAGATTATCTGAAAATCTCGCAATTAGCCTATGAATTTTTTTGAAGTCAAACAAAATTAAACTTTTTTTTTTTCATTCGAGATCTCGTAGAAATTTTCATAGAATAGTATTTTATCTAATATCAAAAAAAGAAATCAAAAGAACAATGCACATTTTTAATTTTTCGAAGATTCTTTCCAACTAGAAATATTCTCAATCGTATTACCAATCTGTTTACATATGTTCTACTTGAAAATCTAGAATTCACATTAATCTTCTTCTCTCTACAATTATATAACTTTCAAATAATTGATAATATAAAAAAAAACAAATTTTTACCAAGTTGTAATGCAGCTTTAATCATATTTCTAATCATCATATCATCTGGTTGAGTAATTATTAATGATGAAAAAATAGATGTTTCAATTGATATTGCATTAATATAAGCATGCATAGCTGGTGTATATTGTTGTAATGTTAAATAAATATCAGCTTGTGTACGATATAATGAAGATTTTATTTGTATAGGTAAATATTTTAATGTTTGAATATGTTCAAATATAACTTGCATAAGTTGTCCTACTGTTGATATACGTATTGAACGTTGTCGATAATCAATTGATGTTGGCCAATATCGTGAATATTCAGAGTAAATATCAACATGTGATTGTTCAACAAGTATAAGTGAATAAAGACGTGATAAAAGCGAAAATATAATTTGTATTAATATTGGATGATGAATATTAATAAGAAATTTTTGTAGATCAACAATATTTAATTTATCATTTAATAAATTTGTTTGTTGATGACGATTTCTTGATTGTTTATTACTAGTTGATCCTTGAATTTTATCTGATAATATATCTAATATTCGATCCCATAATTCTCGAGCAAGTTCAGAACGTATTTGTGTTTGATTTTCATTATTTAACAAACCTATAAATTATGTATTATTAAACAAGAAAGAAAAAAAAGAACGTCATTTAAAAGAACATACGCGCAAAAACTTTAGCTAATTCAAGATAAGGACGAGTTCGACGTATTGTTGGCATTAATGATTGTATAAATTGAATTTCATTACGTGATAATGCATAAGCTAATGCCATACGTACAACATCTATATTAATATCTAAATATAGAAAATGATGTATTTTAAATGAATCATTCAAGTGAAATTAATCAAAGATTTCAAGCTTAAAAATAATTAAAGGAAATTCTTTATTCTAAGAAGATTAAAAAAAAGAAGAACAAATATGAAATAGATCTATTTTCATAGGAAATATTTCTTTTGATGTGTATTTACAGTATTTTCAATTATATTTTTACGATATTGAAGTCAACAACAAATAATAGAATCTATAGTATATCTTTTCAAAAAAAAAAAATGAAATATTTACCATTTTCTGAATGATTTTCTGTAAGAAAACTTTGACATTTTTCCCATAAATTATTTTCATTATCAAGAAATATTTGTTTTGATATTGTTTCATATAAATCAAATAATAATCGATCATAATGAAGATATTTAATAACTTGTCCAATAGACATATCTTGATGATGAATTGGACTAAGAATATCAATAGCTTGTGTTAATAATATATGACATTGAGTATAATTCTTAAATAAAAATTCAAAAATAATATATTAAATATTTAACTTTATTATTTAATACTTTATATAATTTTGCACGTTTAGCTTTTTCATGAAGTATACGAATTAATTGTCCAAGTAGATGATTTGTATTCATAATCATATTCAATGGTTGATCAAGTGGTATTTGTATTATCGACTAAAACAAAAAAATAAATTATCTTAAAAATTTCATACTAAAATTATTTACCGGTGGAAATAATTCATTAAATATTTGAGGTAATTTTGCATTATCTAATTCTGTAATAGTTTCTAACAATATTTGAGGTTCCGAAGAATGAAGTAGACGTGTTTGACATTTAAATTGTATAGAACCTAAGAATATTAAAAAAAAAACATAATTTTATTATCTTTCCATCAGCATTTTATCCAGAATGTTCCCTTTGGAAAAGGTGAACTCGATCTTCGAAGGGCCATCACACTAGATAAAACACTTCTTCCCATGTAAGTCAAACCGAACAAAAATCCCCGGTAGTTTGATATTTAAACGGTCGCCTATGTTCTAATCGGCATGTTGTTGAAGTGTACTTATAGTTTTATTCCCCGGTCGGTAATCTATTTTCGGAAAACTGATGGCTGTACGAATCAATATGCAATATGAGTTTTTATTCAAATACCATTAGGTCTTTCGAGTAAATAAGATCGTTGTATTGTTTGTTGTTTTTTTGAATGCCAATTTGGAATAGAAAATGTTGGGCCAACAAGATGAGCAAATTTATCCATACGTAATTGTTCTTGTAAACTTTTTGTTAAATTATAAAAATGAATTCTAAGAAAGAGAGAAAGGAAATACTTTTCTATGATTAAATTTATTATATACTTTAAAAAACTGTTCAATAATAATCGTTGTTTTGGTGTTATTTGTTTTAATCGTTGAAGTGCCTTTCAAAAAAAAAGATAAAAGTTAATTATTAACAGAATTTTTTTATTTTACTTACTGTTTCAAGATA